CGCCTGCCACCATGTTACATCTCCTCAGTAATATTCATGTTGCCCTTACAGCTTCCTGGTATAAGCAAGTTCTTGGGATTATACAAACTGCTGCTTCTGTTTCCAGTCCAGATTTCTAGAAATGAAACTCTGGGCCGCGCTGACAAGCGTCCGCGCTTGTCTGCGACCGTAGCAGAGCCGCCCTGGCAAGCGTCCGCGCTTGTCTGCGACCGTAGCAGAGCCGCCCTGGCCTCCGCAGCTCTTCAGCCCGGTGCCAGGCCCCAGGGGCCCAAGCGGCTGCCGCCGCGGCTCTCCGTCCCCCTCCTCCGGAGCACGGGTCCCCTGGCAGGGGGGTGCAGAACGACCCCAGAGCAGGCTCTGCCCGAAGGTGCAGCGGCGAACAGGCCACGGAGACGCTCGAGGCTGCAGTCCAGCCTTCGGAGGACAGGGCTCGGCACGCAGCCCAGCTGCAACCTCTAGGTGCGGCTGCCGGACAGTGTATACGGAGCCATCAAGACAGCAAGCAGAAAGCAAATGGCGGCTCCCGCGGAGTGGATTTTCGGCACAGAAACCACAGCCCTGCCAGCAATCCCAATCCACAAACTCTCCCTGTATAAAAAATATTCAAAAAAAAAAAAAAAAAAAAAAGGCGGGGCGCACTGAGCTTTCTTTGCCTCGGGTACTTACAATCCACTGCTGATTGCACATTCAGCTTCTCCGCCCGGAGCGAAGCGAAAGAGGAAGCAGATGGGAGCAAAGCGCCCGCGGCTCTGAGCAGCCAAGCGTCTCTTTTTCGATTTCTTTGTTCTTCCTGCTCCTTGGCAAAGTGGTCCACTACAGATTAACGGTGAAAGGAGCTTTAACAGACTGTGCGAAATCTCTATTAAAGCCGCTACTTTGAGCACCACGCTCAGCACTTCAGCAACCCCCGTACGCAGCGGCCATCTTCTCTCTGAGCAATACAGAATTATTTTTAAAATTCTTAAATTCATTTGAAAGAAAATTGATCCAGAATAGACAAAGCAATACTAGGCAAGAAAAGTGAAGCAGTAGGCATCACAATACCTGATCTGAAATTATACTAACAAAACCAGCATGGTATTGGCATCAAAACAGACATGAAGACCAATGAAACAGAATAGAAGACACAGAGATAAATCCACATACCTATAGCTGTCTGATATTTGACAAAGATGCAAAAAAATATACAAGACAGCATTTTTTAAACAAATGGTATTGTAGAAAAATGCAACTAGATCCCTCTCTCTCTGTCTCAACCTGCACAAATCCTAAATCACGATGGATCAAAGACCTAGGATTATAGACCAGAAACTTTTTAACTGCTACAAAAAAACATAGAGTCAACACTCCATCGTATAGGTGCTGGTGCCATCTTCCTTAACAAGATCCCCAAAGCATAAGAAATAAAATCAGTAAGTAGGATGCTATTAAACTAAAAGCTCTGTACAGCAAATTAAATAATTAAAATCATGAAGAGAGAGAGAGCCTTATGGAATAAGATAAATCTTGGCCACCTACACCTCAGGGCATTAATTTCTGGGATATACAAAGAACTCAAAGCACACAAATACACACACAAAAAAAAAAATCCCAATCAATAAATGGGCAAAAGAATTAAACAGAAACTTCTCAAAAAAAGAAACACAAATTTCCAATAAGTATGTTGGAAAATGTTGGTCACTTGAAAAAATGTTTTAACATCTCTAGCAACCAGGGAAATGCAAATAAAAACTGAACTAAGATTTCATATCACTCCAATCAGAATGCCAAAGATCAAGAATATAAACAACAATAAAAATAAATACTGGCATGGTTCTGAGGAAAATGTACACTTGTACATTGTTGGTGGGACTACAAACTAGTACAAACACTCTGGAAAGCAATATGGATATTCCTCAAAAAATTAGAGATGGAGTCACCATATGACCTAGCTATTCCACTCCTTTGTATTTTTCTAAAAGACCTAAAATTATCATACTACACTGACACGGCCATCTCAATGTTCATAGCAGCACAATTCCAATAGCTAAATTATGAACCAACCCAAATGCCTGCCAGTAGATTAATGGATTAAGAAATTGTGGAGATATATATACATACATACACACACAATGGAGTTCTACTCAACCATAAAAAAGGAATAAAATTATGGCATTTGCTAGTAAATGGATAGAAATAAAGAAGATCATGCAAAGTAAAATTAGCCAAACTCACAAACTCAAATGTCAAATGTTTTCTCTCATATGTGGAATGAAGATAGTACTCTAAAGGAAATAAAGGGGGAAGAATATGATAAAAAATAACTAATCAAATATAAATTAATAGATGAGCAAAAGGAAGTTCAGTGAAGTAGAAGAAGGAGAATGGGAAAGGAGGGAAAAGACAGGAGGGGAAAGTTGAAGGAAAGAGGAGATCCTGAACTGAAGTCAGTTTTCACACATGTATGAGTTTTTCAGGGTGAACCAACCATGTGTAGAACTATAAAGCTCTAACAAAAAATAATTGTTTGATTCACAAAATAGAAAGCAAGAAAGCAACAGAAGAGGAACTTAAACAAAACAGATAAGTGAAAAACCAAGAATAAGATGGTTGCATTAAACTGAGCCATTTCAATATTTATGTTAAATATAAATGGATTAAATACCTCATTTAAAAGGCAGATATTTTCAGACTGGGTAAAAAAGCAATACCTAAGTTTCCACTGTCTGAAAGATACACATTTAAAATATAACACATAGATAATTTGGAAGTAAAAGATGGTGAAGAATCTGCCACACCAACAGTAAGCATAGGACATCTGGCAGGGTCACATTAGCAGAAGACAAAATAAACTTCAAAGATTACTACAAGAGATAAAAGATAATATTACATAATGACAAACATGAAGTTCAACTAGGAAGATATAATTATCCTAAATCCAAAATTCAAAACTCATGAAGCAAACTGACAGTGCTCAGAGATATTATTACTTTTTTCTTAGTAATTAATAGAACAAACAAACAAAAATAAATGAAAATACAAAAGTCCAGAACTATACTTCAACTAACTTGATCAAATTGGCACTTACAGAACAAGGCATCCAAAAAACTCATGTTTGTTAAAGGTGTGCATGGGACTTCCACCAAGATAGACCATCTGTTGAACCATCAAACATTATTTTACTTAAAAGAATTGAGACCTCACATGTGTTCTGAAAGATTTTAATATCATATTGTCTTGCCACAGTAGAAGTAAATTAGAAAATAACAAATTAGTTACCTAGAAAATCTCTCTAAATTTTTTTAGGAATTAAATATAACATTTCAAAATAATCAATGGGTCAAATAAGAAATGAAAATATTTCAACTCAAAGGATAATGAAAGAAATGTATCAAAATGTGTAGAATGCAACTCCAATAGTTGTGTGGTTAATAGAGGAAATTTTGTAAATATAAAAATTATGATAGAAAAAACAAAAATGTTTTAGATCAATGATTTAACTTTACATTTAGAAAACTCAAAAATAGGCAAGAGTAAAGAAATAATATCACTGGGCTGGGGATGTGGCTCAAGCGGTAGTGCGCTTGCCTGGCATGCATGCGGCCTGGGTTTGATCCTCAGCACCACATACAAACAAAGATGTTGTGTCTGCTGAGAACTGAAAAATAAATATTAAAAAATTCTCTCTCTCTCTCTCTCTCTCTCTCTCTCTCTCTCTCTCTCTCTTTAAAAAAAAGAAATAATATCAGAAATTAATTTTAAAAAAGGAAAGAAATTAACAAAAGGGAGAATTTACAAAGCCAAAAATAAGTCATAAGTGATAAATAAAATTGATAAGGTTTTGGAGGAATTATCAAGGAAAAAAAAAAGGAAAACAAGTTATCCAAAGTAGAAACTAAATAAAGTGGGTTATCACACCAGATCCTATAGGCATTAAAAACATGTTAAGAAAATATAAGAACTTTTGCCACCATATTTATTATCACTTAGCTAAAAAAGAACAAATTACTTCAAAAACAAAACTTACCTAAATTGGCTCAAAAAGAAAAAAAATCCATACTTCTCTGTGTATACTTCTGACTTTCAGAACTATGTAAATATTTTGTATATTTAATAAACAAGAAAGGGGTAGGGAAAGGAGGCAAAATTTTATACAAGCAGAAATAAATTAGCTGAGGAGTATTACAAATAAAATGTTCATACTAAAGGAGGATGGGAGAAAAAGAATATAAATAAATTAGAAAACAGTGTGTTCTAAGGCTAAAAATAAAAAAGAACAGTAGATAAATTGTTGGAAATAATCCAAAAGTTGAACAGGAAAAATGGGTAATTATTTCATGATATATTTATACGATAAGATACTACTCAAGCAGTAAGAAGGGATACTTACTATTATACATAACAGAAATGAATCTCAATCAGTATAAGTAAAAGATCATCAGAAACAAATGATACATGCTATATAATTCCATTTATCTGGAATTCTAATCTACAGAGATAGAAATTGGTGGCTATCATGAGTAATGTTTCAGTGAAGATTGACATGAGAGTATGAGGGAATATTCTCTACGGATGAAATTATCTCTATGCTATTGATTTGGTGGGTAGGTGAATTTTCAGATTTTTCAAAAATCATCAAAGTATACACTTAGAAATATTTAAATTGTACCATATGTAATTATTCCTGAATAATATTGATGTTTTAAAAGAATGGAATAGCTCAGGCTAAAGGAATTTCAAGACTAAATAGCAAGCTTTTAATCGTCAAACAAAACTAAAACCATATACACCTTGGGACAAGTGTTGGAAGAGAAAAAAATTAAAGTAATGAAAGATATGGTTTCATGCTTAGTGACCAAAGGGAGATAAATTTAGGGTAAGTAATTTTTTTAATCAGACTGTGAGATTCATAGCCACCAAGACACACCACTGTCAGACAACAAAAAGAAAAGACCTTGAGGTAAATGTTGAACAAAACTCAGTAGAATGTGGTTGGTTTTTTTTTTTCTTTTTTCTTCTAGATAAACTCACCATTGTGCATCATCCCAGTGGTAAGTGTCTGTTATTAATGGAAGAATCTAAGACTAAAATGAAGTTACATTAAAACCAATTTTGATATTAATGAAAACCCAATATGACTAGGTAAGTCAGTGTAAACATTCACATAGATTTTACGTTTATGTGTAAAACAACTTGACGTCCAACATAAATGTTAGGTGATTCTAGAATAGCAATGGCAGAGGAATTGTAATAGAGTGAAAGAAGCATGTGCATTGACTGACTGACCTGGCTATTCACAACTTACTAGTTGTTACCTGTGGCATGTGACTTAAGCTCTCCAGGCTTGTTTTCTCACATGTAAAATGGAAGAATTGTACATGGAGATGGTCTATAAAGACTGATAATGATTTACAAAAATGGAGGCCAGTGGATAAATGAAACTATTGATAGAGCAAATGAAATTTGAGTAACATTTGAGAGAGCAAGTCACTTGAATGTGATGAGGCAGGAGTGTGTGCTGAATACGGGGAAGGTAGAGAGGATCTAGCGACCAGTTACAGAACTGGTGAATGATCCAGAGGCAACTGTCTACAGCCTGAACCAAAGCACTGACTGTGGGATGGAGAAGGAATAAGACTGAGTCCTGTAGTTGGGATGGAAAATAGGAACCATGTGGTGAAACCAGGAGGAGCAATGGTGTAGGTCAATGGTGTACAGAAGGAGCAAGTATGTTTTGCAACTGGCCAATCCTGGTGAATGGTGAAAAGAAAATGAAGAAGGTATGAAAAAAGGGAGATTGTTCCTCAAAGGTATTATTATAAAGATTATTTCTGAAGAGAAGTAACTCTGCCATATCTGACCCAAGTCAATCCCTGTGAGTAGGAGAAAGTAATAGCACACTTGCCAAGGGGACTTTTCCAATACACCCTTTTGATCTGTTTACTAATCTTTCTATTGACCCATATCCTAGACTTTGTATATGTCATGTTTTTAAAGTATTGAATAAGTGAACCATTATATATGCGAATGACTATAGAGGTAGTAACAGAGTTTGTATTTCTAGGTAACACTTCCCAAAATGAAAATATGTTGTATAATAATCCCTTCAGCAATAAGGTAGGTTATATTTAATTTTTATAAAATATTTAAAAAAGAGAGAGAAAATCTGGATATATTGCTCAGTGGTAAAGCACTTGTGTAGCAAGTGTGAGGCTCTGGATTCAATTTCCAGTACTGCAAAAATAAAAGAAGGAAGATGGAAGGGGAGGGGGATGTAGGGGGAGGATGAATTTCTCTTTTTCTCATGTTCTCATAAAGAACATGGCCTGAAAAAATTTTCTATGTTATATGTACTTTGAAATCAATATGAACCAAATAGGTTAGGTGAACATTTGACTACAAGAATATATGAGCCATAATTTAAGGAAATTATTTGGAGAAAAAAAAGAAAGAATTCAAAGGGGAAAAAAGCATTTAAGCCAAAGTGTACTGAACTCAACATGTACAGACAAAATAAATCTTAGAAGAATTATGAGTGCATCTGTTTTAACAATAGGATTATGATGATTCTATTTGCACCAGAATGGATAGTACTTAAAGTCCACTTATAGGGAAAATACAGCCCCAAAATATTGTTGATACAAGTGTGCATTACTTCACATCATAAACTTAATTGGAAAGAAACTGCTAACAAGAAGCTAAAAATAACACTAAGCAAGGAGAGCAGCAATTGAAAACAGAGACCAATTCAAAACAACACTGATAATGTCCTGACCACAAATTTTCCTTTGTAAAACTCATGTTATTCCAACTATCTACATATGTGATATAGAGAACTTACACTGTTACCAAAGGTCATATAGCAGACAGATTTCTTGCTAAAATTCAAAATTAGAGTCCTTGGTAAGCTCTCATAATGAAACAATTTTAGTTTTCTTAATTTTAGTGACCCTTTAAGCACTCTTCTGTTTCAAATAAATCATAAGTAATCATAAAAATCATTTGCCCTGAAGAACTGTTGGAAGCTTTTGTGTTTTTGGATCATTTTATGGCCCACCGATGAACTATAGAGCTATATTATAGAGACTCATTAGACTCATTCATCTACAGCAGAATTGTGGATTGTACCACAATCCAGGAGTTTATGAATATCTTTGTCAATCAAAGATTCTTCCACAAAAATCTGAAGTACTAAACAATCATGCCATATCTTTTTGAGAATAATATTTTGGATAAAGTAAAGAGAAAGCAAATTCCCAATGCTCAGGTTATTTTCCCTCAAAATCAAAATAAAATTTTGGCTTTGATGTACTTGAAATTTGTAATTTTGATTTTGATTTTCTTTTAAGATGGAGATTGTCTTGCCAGTTTCTTCTGTAAAGCTGTTTTCCCCATGGCTGTGAAAGGCAACCATGACTTTATTGTATTTCTTTATTCAGCCTTAAAATGGAGAGATGCTAGCTCTGTTTTGTTTGTTTGTTTGTTGTTTGTTTTTTCCAGCTTCCTCCTCGACTCCAAGTTGAAAAGGAATTCGGTGTCTGTTGCAGGAAAAATCAATAAAAAAGGTAAAATACTAGCTATATGTTTTTAGAAAACCTAAAGCAGACTTGTTAGGGACCTGAAGGAATCATTTGTCTAGGAAACAGAAATCTTTAAATATTTCATTGTCTTCTCCTAAAAGGATAAACATGTGTATTTTTCCAGCTAAAGGTGATTGTTCCTCATAAAGATTTACGTATAGGGGTGATTTTATGCTAGTTAATAAATTTCATTTGATGTGCCATTATTCACTAATACATTTCCTGTGATCTCATTTTCAGGTTATGTTAATAAAACTCAAGAATGTACAGACATTGTGCTTTCTGAGTGAAGCAAGCTTGCATTTGAATTGTCTGCTCTCTTCAGGGCAAGTCTTTACCATGAAAGCGGAAGCAAGCTCTGAATTTGGGAATTTGTTATTGCCACAATTTATCAGTGTCATACCTACTCCAAATGGATGTTATCAATGTTAAAATAGAATATCATAGGCCAATAACATATTATGAAAATTCTTGCATTTTATAATGCACTTTGCACTTAAGAAGCTAGTTCTCATTTTGAAAAGTAAAGAAAAACAAAAGCAGAGAAGTTAAATGCTGCATAGAAAGTTATTGAACCTGTTTATGGCACTAATAATAATAGATTATTCCCATGAAAATACAAACCGACTTAGTACATGTTTGCTTTTCGTGTCTAAAGTCGAGAGTCCTCACATCTAGACAATTGCTTTTGTTACACTGTTTAAAGAAACCTTCCTTTTGTTAGTTCTTTTGTTTTTTTGCTTATATCCCTGAGAATATTATATTTTTTGAAAAATTTTGTGTATCTCAAAATAATACACATTTATAAAACCTATCATTAAGTCTTTATAATTTCATCAACCTATTTCTTAGAAACAATTTGCTACTTAGAATAAAATGTATTTTTTTGTGGTTGTAGCTGGTACTGGAGATTGAACTCAGGGGCCCTTTATCACTGAGCTACCACTGACTTACATTCCCAGCACCTACCCACCTCCATTTTTTTCCTTGAGAAGGTGTCTTGCTAAATTAGGTTGCTTAGGGCCTCACTAAATAGCTGTGACTGGCTTAGAACTTGTGATCCTCCTGCCTCAGTCTCTAGTGTTTCTGGGATTACATGTCTGCACCACCAAGCCTGCAAAATGTAGTTTTTATCATATAGTGATTTCCATTGATAAATGCCACAAGTAAATTGAATGTTTAAAAATATGTCTGATTTCTCAAAATAAATTAAGAACTACTAAAATTTTCCACTTGTGAGTTTAAAGGAGATCTATCAGTTTTTTTTAAAAAAAATAAATCAACTAATTTCACTAGATAACATCCATATAGTAGAATACAAACAAATATCTATTTAAAGTAATTCTGTAAGATATTTATCAATGGTTTCTCATATCTATTAACATCCTCAAATAAACACAAGTTTTTAAAATAATGCAGTAACTTAATCAATCCCTAATAGAAGCTGCTTTTGAATGACTTCTGGAAATTCAACCCATATTTTCACATCCAAGATTTTTTTAAATGGCATACCCTGCTGTGCACTGAGCCTCAATTTCTGTGAACTGTCATGGCCAAGAGTTAGAATAAGCAATGGAAAACTGATAGCTTTTCTACAATTTCCAGATTCATAAAATTCAAATAATTATATCATTTCTCAAGTAAGAAATTCCATATTGGCCTGTGACCAATGCCAGCAGTTTCACTATTGGCTTTATTCTCCTTAAAAATGTGAAATTCGATGATGATTAAATTGGTAACTTTTATCACAATAGTGCACTTCTTTCTTGAGACTCAAATAGGGGTGAAGGTGGGAGATAAGACCTGTAGATTATTAAATTCTTTAACAAAGATAGAAATCTAAAACCAGAACTCTAACTGCTACCCTTATGAACTGAACTAACATAGATGAACACCATGGTCAAAGCTTCTCTAATGGCCTCTTTCCCTAGACATTCTGGCCCTTGGAATTGTACTCCTTTTTCATTACAAAGAAACAGAAAGATCAACCTAGGAATAAGGAGATCCTCCCTATACTTCTTTCACCATGGCTCCCATTCCTCACCCATTAGGCTTTGCCAGAGCTGGGAAGAAGGTTAGAGAAGGTTGGAAATGGGGAGTCAGAAGAAGTCTTTATCCCACCTGTTGCATAAAAGAACAAGATGAGAAATAAAGAAATGCAAACAGGGAGGAAGGATGATCCAAATGTGGAAATAATCCTAATTGAAATGTTCCATAAGGAAGCAATGTCTTTTCATTCCTAGGATGAGGCCCATAGATGAAGCTCATAGATAGAGAACATATAGAATACTATCTGCTAAATTTCATCACATAACACCAGCTTCTCCTTCTAATGGAAAAAAAAAATCAGGGAAAATGGCAGGGAAGTGGAATGGAAAAGTTTGACTTTTCCTTGGTGATTTGGAATATTTCTAAAAGTCACTGCCAGAAAAGGAAAGACTGTAGGAGATCTTCTAAAGACTTTGCACTAAACCTGGAAGCTGAGCAGCCAGTTGCTAATGTATCTTTACCTTGTCATCATCCCTTCTTCAAATCAGCTTTGTTCTCAAGGCATATCTCCAAAGCCTCTGTTCTCAGGTTCTTAAATTTACCAGCATTCTTGCTTTCTAGACTAAGGTTCTTAAAAATTTGCCAGCACTCTTGCTTTCTAGAAATGTTTGAACTGGTACTGAATGCTATCAAAAGAGTTTTAATATTAATTCCATTTCTACCCAGTTATTTTTCAATAATAACAGAAAAATGCAAACAGTCACAATATCTAGAGACGCTTTTGATTATCATGAGTAGAGAGTCAGTACTCCTAGCATCTAGGGTGTGGAGACCAGGGATGCTGATAAAAATTTCAATAATACACGAAGAATTATCCAGCCCAAAATATTAGTTGGTGCTGAGGTTGAGAAACCTTGATCTAGACTATAAAGTGAAACAGGATGAACACTTGAAACACAGTTGTTAAAATAAAAACAGTAATTTTATATGGAGTTGTTGAAAGCGAGAACCTATATGATAGTATAAGTGAATGTCCTTATTTTGAAGTTTATATGGCTTAAGCTTAAATGGATCATTAAGTACTCACTGGATGAATCTCATATATTTTTATTTTTTTAAAGAGAGAGAGAGAATTTTAATATTTATTTTTAGTTTTTCTGCAGACACAACATCTTTGTTTGTATGTGGTGCTGAGGATCGAACCCGGGCCGCACGCATGTCAGGCGAGCGCGCTACCACTTGAGCCACATCCCCAGCCCTCATACATTTTTATAAATCAATATTATTATATCAATGGAACCTCTAATTTTTAGAAAATGAGTCTGTTCTCAGCATTTTATGATGAGAATATCCTTATAATTTGAGTCATTTTTACATCCTACTTGTACACTATTTGCTCACCTAACCATATTCAGGAGGCCAATTTTAATAACTTGGACTTATTTGCATTTTCACTTCATATTGCTTTTCTGAATCAGTAAATATTTAGGAGAGAGCTCTACATCATAAGCCTGACCTACTGAGTCTCAGCTGATTAGCACAGATCTAGTATGAAGTCCCACTTGCAGCCCTTTGTGTTGCTGTGTGGACCAGGCACACTGTTGACCTGCCCTAATGTGTGAGGCCCACTCTTAAAGGCAGGGCTACCACAAAAAACAGCAAAAGTACGGTACATACAACTCTTAACACAACAGACCTCAAATGTACAAATAACAATGTATCATTTCTTCAATAACTCTCATCTTCAAAATGCAGATGACAAAGCTTCTTAGGTAATTTTATGGGTATTAAATGACAGCATGTACTTACACAGCCAATACAAAATGCTGCATTTAAGAGCATTAGCTTTGAAGTAAGACCAATCTAGTTTGACCCTTGGCTCAGATATGTCCTAGGTATATAAATAAAGTCCAATTTTCCATAGTGTGTGTGCTTCATCATTGATAAAATAAGGGTAGCAATAATAATGTTAGCAGATGCTGAGAACTAAATATAGGGAGATTGTTGAATTAATTTATCACCCAAAGAAGACACTCATAAGTAAAACAGAATACTGTTAATGATTAAGATGGAAAATAAGGCATAACCTAGGACTGTCTTGAGCATGAACTATGTGTATGTAATGACCACTTTACCTAAATGAGATATAAGTTCTTGGAACATTTTCACTCAGTAAATAAATGGTCAATAATGATAGTTTTCAAAAACCAGTCTTCCATGAAATATGAACTTTGCATGATCCTTTAGACTGGATTGTCCTGAATGGTTCTTATGCACAGCCTCATAGCAAGTGATTCAAATCTTTATCATTATAAAAAAATTAAAACAATGATTACAAATGCTTGAATAATCCTCAATCATCATAAATATCAGAAGCCTATAAAGAAAAAAATCCATAATGAAACGATACCATAGCAGCATTTTCTAAGTTATGTTCTAAGAATGGGGTGTCCTGGACTAAAATGAGGTTCAATGATCCAGTAAGTTTGGAAAGTGCTATTGTGTTTTATACCATTTTAGAATAGCACACTATATATTAAAATATTGAAAATGAATCCTACAATACAGAAATCTTCACTGTTTGAGAACACTGGCTTACATTTTATGTATACATAATTTGGCCTCATTTTCCATGGAATTGGAAAATAAAGACTGCCTACAGGATGCCTGGAACCTGTTGAGATGGAGTCTGAAACCTGGTCCCGTGGGAAATAGTGTCCTGATCAGCAATGATGCCTGCCGCGGCTGCAGTGTTGTATGGGAGGATTGGTGGCACATGTGATACATATTTTTTCATTCAGGATTTGCAACTGCTTGTCATAAAATTGAAGATTAAGTCCTGAATTTTTTAAAATAATAAAAGGTTCACTGAATAAAGTTATACTGACAGCTATCACCTGTTTTCAAATGACTTAGTAAACATGTCTCTGTATAAACATGATAGTTTCTGTTTAAGATTCTGTTTAGTTTATCCTGAAGTCAACATTAAGCTCAGTTCTACTCAAACTAGTGTTAGGTCATTCAGAGATGCTGTGCATTGAAATGCAGGAGACCGGGAGCTGCTTCTGAGTCTGTGGGATTAAGTGGGAGAGCTTTGTCCCCCCTACTCCTTGCTCGGAATAGCAATAGTGACCTTCAGTGAGAGAAATTAGCCCTTGGCAAATTAACTAACAACTCCTGATGGATTGTCTCATTTCTCAAGGTGGAATAGACACATTATATCAACGAAGATAAAGGTGGACAGTTTTGCCCCTAGAACTTTCCATTTCTTTGTTCAAGCAAAAGAAAAAGGATTCAGGGAAGTGTCAACTGATGTTGTTTTGGCAGGCAAGCCTGACACTGACAAGCCTGACACTGACAAGCCTGACATCTGCAGGCATGCAAGGAGCCCTGAGCTCCCTTGCAAGACATTGGCATTTGTCACAATGTAAAATGAGGTGTTGTATAACTCAGATGTGACAAGTCATGCTTAGTACCTCCAGATATTCCGCATCAGCTGACTTGGGGAATTCTAGCAGGTGAGTTGCCATTAGCAATAACATTGAAGGGCATAAAAAATATTTATGATCTCCATCTGTTCTCTTTACTCTAGTTTCCATAAACTGTGTTTCCTTAACAGAGATATTTATATACCTTTCCACTTGGATTTTGGTCACAGATGATCTAGCCAAGTTTATTATCCAAGTGTGGGAAAATGGCAAACTGAAAGATCAGTTTTATTTTCTGAATTGTGTCCCACACACACAAAAAAAATGTTATATTGAAGTCATAACCACCAGTATATCAAAATGTGATGGTACTCAGAGATAGGGCCTTTCAAGAGATATGTAATATAAGATGACATCCTTCAGGGGGGACCTAATTTCATATGACTTGTCATTCTTATTAGAAAGATGTGGATGTGTACAAAGGTAGAGTGATATAAAGACATAGGCAGATGATGACTATCACTAAGCCAAGGAAAAAGACCAGAACAGACCGTCGTCAGTGTTATGGTTTGGATGTGATAAGCCCCCAAAACTCATGTGTGAGACAATGCAAGAATATTCAGAGGTAAAATGATTGGGAAAGCCTTAACCCAATCAGTGAATTAATCCTTGATGAGGATTAACTGAGTGGTAACTGAAGGCAGGTAGGGTGTGGCTGGAGGAGGTAGGTATTTGGTGGCATGCCTTTGGGGTACATATTTTGTGTCTGGAGTGTGGGGTCTCTCTCTGTTTTCTGATTATTGTGTGAGTCGCTTCCCTCCACTACACCCTTCTGCCTCACCTCGAGCTCTGAGGAATACAGCTGGCTGTCTATGGACTGAGACCTGTAAAACCATGTGTCCCCAAATAGACTATTTCTCTTTAAAATTGTTCTTGTCAGGTCTTTTAGTCACACCAATGAAAAAACGGTTTAAAACAGCCAGAATTTTTATCTCCAAAATAATAAGAAAATAAATGTCTTATTTGAGGCACCCAGTCTGTGTTATTTTATTATTATTAAAGTGGCACTAGCAAACTAAAGCAATTAATATAAATGAATTTGGAGTAGTAAGTAGGAGCAACAGCATGTAAGAAATTTTGGATTTGACTTGAAGTACAGTGAGAAGCAATTTAAAAGTTTTAAACAGAAAAAAAAAATCCCTCACATTGCAAAATAGATAATAGATTGTAGAGAGACAGAAAAGGAGACCTATGGAAATATGAGAAGAAATAAAGGAAGATGTGTGCGCGCGCGCGTGTGTGTGTGTGTGTGTGTAGGGAGACAGGGGAGGGGA